CTTATTTTGAAGTACAAAAACAAACGGGGCAAAATCACCGGGCGGACTGGATAAATGTCCTCGGCAGGCCGTAGTTTGAGGAGGCCTGGTACTGTCTGTCCCACTGTAGGTGGGACCCACTCCCTGCTGATAAGGATAGTGGATTGTTTCTCTGAAGGAGAGCCCAGAGACAAGGTCAAGGATGACCAAAGTTAGGCTGCCATCTTGAATCTAGGATCTGTCCATCTTGTCACATGTGTACCGCGAGTCCCTCCCCTTCTTATTGCATGTACACCCCTAGATTGTCCTCCTCCCATTGCATGTATTACCTATGGTACAACCCCTTCCCGTTATGAGGTAATCAGGGGGGCTTGCACACCCCTAAGTGTATATAAGCCGTGATTAGAATTACAGTATACTCTTTCCTCCTCTCTTCTCCCACCTCCATGTGGACCACCAAGAGGGGCTGAAGTGAGCATGCTACCATGAAATGTATCAGACTCTTTTATTTTACTCTCTCCCCTATCCTTCCTAGTCTCTCTGACTTTACTATAATCCTTATGTATTATCGCCATACAATCGTGCCTACACTTGTCAGAGGCTGGTTTACTCTGACAGCTGTGGACTAGAGAGACAACTGGACGTTGGCTAAAGAGAGGTGTTGCTGTGGACTAGTGACGGCTTCCTTACTGTTTGCTAATCCTGACTTTTGGTGACCTATGAACTTCCTTTGTGTAGTAGACGGACCCAATACAAGGTGTCATTTGATCTCTTGACTGCTGCTTCCATGAGCATTGATTGTGGATCCAAGTAAGATGGAATCCCTGACAACTTTCCCTGCCCACCCCCTCCATTTATCATGACGTTATCTATCGGTCCAGTTGTGAGGGTTTGGGTTTTCTTTACACTGAGTTGGGTAAATCTGCTGCACAAGACCTCTTGAAAGTGTTGAAAACCAGGCTATTACTTTGAGGACTCAGATGCACCTGACCCAAGCCATGGTATTTTCATTCACCTCATATGCGTGTGAAAGTTGGACATTAAATAAGGAAGACTGAGGAAGAATCGGCACATTTGAATTATGGTTCAGGTGAAGAACATTGGAAGTACTATGGACTGCCTGTCTTGGAAGAAGTCTAACTAGGATGTTCCTTAGAGACAAGAATGGTGAGACTATCTCATGGGCGGTGGACACGTTATCAGGAGAGAAGATTCCCTGGGAAAGGATACCACACCTGGTAAAGCAGAGGATAGTGAGAAAGAGAAAGGCCCTTGACAACATGGTGGACACAGTGGCTACAACAATGGGCTCACATGTAAGAACAATTGTGAGGATAGTTCCGGACTAGGCAGTTTTTTCTGTTGTACACAGGGTCATTATGAACTGGAGATGACTTAGAGATGACAATACTTACCTAATTAAAACAAAAAACTGCCATCAAGTCAAATCTGGCTCATAAGAACCCTGTAGGACAAGGCAGAATTACCCCTGTGAGTTTTCTAGACTAACTTTCTCCCACAGAACACTTGGTGGTTTTGAACTTCTGACCTTGCAGTTATTAACCCAATGTGTAACCATCATGCCACTAGGCCTCCTAACTTCTCTAATAAGGGACCTTTTACTGAGTATTGCCTGTGAGTTTTGTGTGTCCTTGCAATGGATTATTGAACCCAGAATAGAAGTAAAGGGCTAGGTGTCAGGATTGCTGAACCCAGAATAGAAGTAGAGGGCTAGGCGGCAGGATTATTGAACACAGAATAGAAGTGGAGGGCTAGGTGGCAGGATTATTGAACCCAGAATAGAAGTGGAGGGCTAGGTGGCATAGTTGGTGTTAGAATAGGTAGAGAAGGATGGACTGTGGAGGCATGTCTGACTCCTGTCTTGTAGCAATAAGGAAGCCAGAGAAGATCAGATGTGGTCCCTCAGGCAACTTACTGCCATCTTCTAGGAAATATGAAAAATACAGATGTTACAAGATTAAAATAATCTATAATTCTACCACCTAACTATAACCATCAATATCTTCATGTATTTCTTTATAGCTTTTCCCCTTGGATCTACATATTTATAAGGTTATGACTATATATGTAATCTTCCCTTGTTATTAAACATTGCCATTTCACTCATTTTCAATTTTCATTAAATTTTTTTTTTTTAATTACTAATGTCATTTTATTGTGAACATCAAGAACTTAACTGGTCACCCCCACCAGTCTCCTGGAGTCAGAACTTGTCCATCTTGGTTTAGATTTGTTTGAATCTATAGGTGTCCCAGTCTCTGGGTGGCTTTAATGGTTAAGCATTGAACCATTAACCATAGGTTTGTCAGTTCTATCCAACCCAGAGGCACTTCAAAAAGAGAATCTATAGCTGTCAAGTCTTTGAAACGGTTTTTTTCTCCAGTTTGTTCATTTCATTAACATATTTGTTCTTTTTAAAAAATCATTTTATTGGGGCTCATACAATTCATTACAATCCATGCATACATCAATTTTGTAAAGCACACTTATGCATTTGTTGCCCTCATCATTCTCAAAATTCTCTTTCCGCTTGGGTTCCTGGAATTAGCTCATTTTCCTTTTTCCCCTTCCCCTCCCTCCCCCCTCCCCCCTGAACCCTTAATAATTTATAAATTATTATTATATCTTATCTTATACTGCCCTGTGTCTCCCTTCATCCACCCTTCTGTTGCCCATCCCCCAGAGAGGAGGTTATATGCAGATCCTTGTGATTGATTCCTCCTTTCTACCCCCCCTTCCCTCCCGGTATCGCCACTGTCACCACTGGTCCTGAGGGGTTCATCCATTAAAATATTTTTGTTGCCTGAGAGTCTTCTTAATTCTTTAAGACACATCCCAAGAGCAGAAAGGACTAGGTTAAGGATATGAATTTGTATACAATCTTGATAATGGATCACCTAATTGCTAATCAGACTCAGTCTGTCTTTTTCTCTTGGTAACATTTTTTTAAAGCCTTTTAAAACCTTTGTTGATTTGATAAATGGAAGTAAACTCTGATGGCTTTGATTTGCCCTTCTGTGAGCAGTGAAGCGAACATACATTCCTCACGTTTGAAGCGAGTTTAGGCGAGAGGAGAAGTTTCACAGAAACACACTGTGCCTTGGTGTGGCCTGAGGGACCACCACACGGCCAAGGACAAAATCACTGCCCCATCAGGGCTCCTTGAAGAAATCTGCCATCTCCTTAGGGACCGGCCACGGGACATGTCATACAGGTGTTGCTGGTGTGCTGTTCCATCTCAAATGTCCCATCACCAAACCAGTTCCGATGGATCCTCTACTTGACTTTGATCACTCTGTTGTGAGTGGATGGTGGTGACTTCCCAAGAACAGGAACTAGAGGGTCTGCTGAGAGCTAAAATTAAATATGTGGCTGCATAACAGAAAGACACATGAAGTGTTTCAAACTCAGGACTGTTTACCCAGTCGAATACCCTATTTAAGAATTTTAGAACCCAATCCAGCTCAACTGTTAGCCTTATCTCCACTTCCCCTTCCTCTCCATCCTCCGTAAACATGTTCCTTAGTGTGCTGTTATCGCCACACAAGTTCCTCCTTGTCCTTTAAAGCCATCCTCAGATGTTAACTGCTGATTCAAGAAATGGTATAGGGCCTTGAGACCCTCTCCACATCTTCATCAGTCCTCTCCAAGCAACCCAAATCACACCCAAAATGTGTCACCTCACCTTTAAAAAATTACCTCTTTTATTTGAACTGCACAACTTCAGTTAAAGCAAAGTGCTTTGTATGCAAACGCATGTTTAAGACAAGTCCCCTGGCCCAGACTTCTACTTAGATCGCAAATTTCTTTTAAGAGCCCTAGTGGTGCAGTGGTTAAATGGTTAGCTGCTAACCAAAAGCTTGTTAGTTTGAACCCACTGGACATTCTGAAACTGTCAAAGATGGAATATTACTTGTCCTGAAAAGTCTTCTCTGGTCTTCTGCCTGTGACAAGCAATAGGTGCGCTCTCATAAAGTAGCCTTCTCCACGCGTTAATTTACTAACACTAACAGACTGCTTTTTTTAACCCCCTTTGTTTTCTTCACTAGGTTAGCTCATGTAACTACAGATCTGTTGAAAATGTTAATTTAAGAAAGGGATTCTAAACTAAAGAATTTCTTTACCTTTGACATGTTAGAGAAGTTGAGAGTTAGCAACGATGCCTTTGGTGAGACGCTAATTCTACTAAGGGATTTCCCGAGTGGTACAAATGGCTAATGCACGCAGCTGTGAACTGAAAGGTTGGGGACTCGCGTCAACCCAGAGGCCCTGTGGGGGGAAAGCCCTGGGGCTCTACCGCTGAAATAGCAGTTATTGTCAAACCTGTGGAGCACAGCTCTACTCTGACACGTGGGCGGTCATCATGAGTCAGAGCCGAAGCCACTGCAAAGGGTGTCGCCACGTCTACTACATCGCATCACCCGAAGGGCAACATTCACCAATACATGTGGGAATCCCAGATTTTACACCTTAGTAGCAGTTTCTAGAAAAGGTTTTCATCTTTGCCTTTCTACCCAAACTATACACTGAAAGATTTGATCAAAAAAATAAGAAGGGTGGATAGGTACACTGAGAAGGAGTGTGCGCAGGTGTGTGTGTGTGTGTGTGTGTGTGTGTGTACACTCAGGCACACAATCAAACCAACCAATGCCCTCAATTGCTTCATATATGCACATAAAAGTTAATATTTATTTCAGGCACAGTTCTAAAATATCCCTACCACAGAAAGGAAAATGATCTAGTAACTGTGGAGGGGCATCTATCTCAATAAGAAAGATGGATAATGTGTTCTTTTGAACAAGGGCAGATGCCTCTCTCTGGATATCCCAAAAGAGAGGCACAGAGGATTTCATTTCTCTTGGTGTTAGTAACTCTGAGGTGCGCCTGTGTCACAAGTTGGGGAACTTGAATTGTTGGGAAAGAGAAATGTTTTTTTCAAAACTCAGCCCCAGCCACTCCAATCTAAGTATGCTTATTCACAGATGAACAGTGTAAATGGATACAAGCACAGTACATTTTATTGTTAAATTACTATGTACCATATGCAGAACAAAAAGGAAAGGGAATGATTGCTTGTTGTGCATTCGCATTTTAAATTCTTGAATACTAAACAAGTGAACAAGTGATCAATTATAGGAAAGAAAATCCAAAGCTAGGATTTCCTCACAAGTCTTCTGATTTCTCTATTAATTATAGAAAACATGCTCAAATTTTTTAGAAAACCTTTCCCCCTACATGTTAATAAATAAGCTATGAGGGGAAAGAGTCCCTCGGTATTCAGGACAGTCCGTGTCTGGCTAATACAATTATCATGTGGATATAATAGATGCATCAAAAAAATAAAAGGGTAGCATAGTTTAAATTTTTCCAAAAACTTAGCACTATTAGTGCTGAGTTTCCAGTTCCAGAATGGTCCACTCCCCTTGGGGAGAACAATCCTCAGAGGAAACACTGGCCATGGTGAAGCTTGCTGAGGAATCATCAAATGGAGATGCTAGTTCGCTCCATCTGTTCAAAGTGTCCACATGTGCTTTACCCTGAGGTTGTGAACTGTCTCGTGCTAAAAGCAGTGTCTGATTGATTAGATACTGTGCTAGATTTAAGTCTTCAGGAACAGAATTTGTAATATTCAAGTTTGAATCTTCTTCAGAGAGCAGCTGCTTTAGCAGAGTCCAATCCTGTTTGGCAAAGTGCTGACCATCTCGGAAATCTATGTCCACCAAGCGTGATTCTGATTCCACTTTCTGCTCAAAAGCTTCTACTACATCCATCTCATATATTGGAGAGAGGGTTTTTGAAGGCCGGTGGTCATACATGCCGGTTTGTGCCAGTATGTCACAATCGTCTATGTCTCCTGAAATAATTCATAATACTACACAATGTAAAAATTGCACATGTTGTTACCCCTCAGAGTTTTGTAGATCAATATTAACACAATATTAACAGTGATAATCCGAGAGAAAAAAACAGAGAATGGGAAAAATAACATCCGTACGAAATGGGTGAGATTCTTGAGGCAATTCTTTTGTCTATGTCAAAAACAAAACGAAACAAAACAAAATCCCAGCCAACTCCAGGGCACTGTTTAGCAGCATGTAGGCAGGCATGTAGGCAACTAACAATGATTCTTCACATTTTAATTTGAGAACTTATGATACAGAAAGCAACAAATTATTTAAACATAAATGCAAAATGCCACACAGATATCTAATTCACTACCATCTGAGCTACAAAAGGAAAAAACAAGATGTGGTAATCTCACGGTGATTTTTAAAGTCAGAAAGGGAGAATATGTCCTTTTTATCTAAAAGCTTACTTGCATATTGCACATGCACAGGCGGATGCAAGCAAGGACAGACAAACAAAAAGCACAACTGTCAGAGCTCTCCGCTTCCTTTTGATTTTGCTGACCAGGGACTAGATTAGGGTTTGGTTTGTAGTCCTGATACCCAACAGCTGCTCAGTCAGACACTGTTGCATATTTTGGGTTTGGGTCATTGGTTAGAATTACTGGGGTGAGGAAGACAAACACATCGAACAGACAGGAAATCAACAAAGCATATGCAACAAGCCTGGGCTTTTTTTCTATTATATAACAATTGCTTTTAAATATAGTCTCTTTTAGTAAATTTGTATTTTTATTTGAAAATTTTAGAATATAATTAGTGTTCCTGAAAGTCTTAATCTCTGTAAAATGTATATAAATTGTAATAATTGATCTAGTTGTTAAAATAGCTCAGTGTTTTTAGTTACATATTCCTATAGTTATTGCACAGCCCTCTTAGATATATAAAAGTATAGTCCATAAATAATGTCTAATGAACAACAAAAGTCTGAATAATCAAGAATTGCTGTTAAATTAGATGTAAATTAAATAATAGCAAACTCAGTTCTTTATTCCTTCCTGTAAAATCCCATACATTAGAGCTGTCTAGTGGACAACCCCCAACTGTGTTTTCATTAGACCTTACTTCTACACTAGGACTTTAGGTAAACAATAGAGACTATCTAAGCTACTCTTCATATTCGTAAGAAATTTAAGTTTTCCTTCAAAATTTGAATCTGTTGCTTAAGTCAACGCCCTACCTAGCTAAACTATAACATTTAGGGCTACGTATGACTTTAAAATTCTACAAACTCATTTTTTTCCTTAGGCTGTAGCATTTCTATTTCTGTACATTACCTGCAGACAAAGCAATACTGGCTTTTTCGGTAGTTGTGGGATGGCTCTCTTTCACTTGACCCTCCTGAGGCAGAGCTGGGCTCCGGCCGCCGGGGGCGACAGGGTGTGTGGAGCTGCTCTTTGGCATGTCAGCACTGGGTTCTCGCCGATGAAGCGCCAGATGACACGGCCTTTCTTGATTTCTCATATCGCTATCTGCAAGTCTGCTGTGTGGCTGGAAGTCGTTATTTGCATCCCTTCCGATGCTTACTTTGGAATCTTCTGGAAGAAGCTGCCTGTCTCCTTCAGACAAGGCGTGGAGTGCAACATTCTTTTTCTCTGTGGCAGAAGCACCCTGTTGAGCTTTTCTTGAAGAGTCAATGCTACTGAGAGCCAAGAGAGGGTTTTCATTTTGATAGACATGATTAGTTGGATCTTGTTTACATCCCCAAACACTGTTTTCACCGTCCGTTGAGTATCTAGGATAGCAGGCGCTTCTACTACGAGGCTGGCGAGAAACGCCTTCGAAAACACCGGCAGGTGAGAGGCGATCTGCCGCAGGCTGCCGAGGAGCATGCACGTCCCCCTCCTCACACCCCAGCTCTTCACATTCATCGACTGAGAGTAAAACGGATCTTTTAAATTGTTTACGTGCGGAAAACTCGGGGCTTTCATTTTCCGTTGCATCTTCGAAAGCCAAATTAATGATTCCCTGGAACTGCTGAGGAGCCTGGGGAGGCGGCGGAAAGCTTTCCGCAGCAGTGTCCGTTTCGGACCGGTCATCTTCCGTTTCGTCCGCGGAGGAAGAAACCTGGTCTGCTTCCTGGGCACTGCCCTGGGCACTGCCTCGAGGGGGCTGTGCTTTCTCCCGTGGGTGGCCGGCTGCAGAACGAGGCCACGTTTCCGGCCTTTTCCCGGGAATCTCATCGTCACTTGTAGAATTAATCTGGAAAAGATCACTACTACTCTGCTTTTTCATTTTGACTTCGATTCTTAAATTGCTGTCATATATTTTCAGTTCTTCGGGGGTACTGGTGTCACTGCTACTTCTTCCAAGAAAATCGTGGCACAGCACGGTGCCGCACTTGGAAATGCCCCTGTCGCTGGGCCCGTCATCATCCTGAGAGCCGCCCGCATCGTAGTCTTCAGAGCGGGGCTTGATGTCGTCAGAGGAGGTCGTAGCGCTGCCAGAATCAGATTCAGGACTCTCTCTGGGATGCAGAATACTGGGACTCAAACTCCAGGGCCCCATGAATGGAGCCTCTAAAGTTTTGTGGCTCTCGGGCACTTCTGCTGGTGTTTCCATATGTTTAGGAGAATCTTTCCCTGATCTTTGTTCTGAAAAGCATTTAGGAGGAAGATCTGAGCCTGCTGTCGCAGGCCCGTCTTTATGTGCAGCCGGGTTCTGAGGCGATTGACTAGGAATTCTCGGTCCTTCTAGGGGAACTTTGCCTTTCCTGTCATTGGGAACGGACATGAAAGCAGCATTTGTCCTTTCAGGAACACCAGGTGAAACCGCCCTCCCATCTTTAAGGGCGGATTTTTGGTTTGCATCTTTTCTCCCCACTGGGTTCTCCCTCTCTGACACTAGGCCTATTTGCTCTTTATTTGCTGGGTCTAATGCAGAAGTTAGGTTACAGTTCAAGGAGTTCTTCTTTGGCTTTGACATCGTGGGTTTGAGGGTGGTGGAGCTGTGAACATTTGACTCGTTACTATCAGTCCCGTTCGAAGGTGGAGGTCTTTTACAGGCACGGGCATTATCTGTTTCTTGGTGGTCAGGAAATTCGGTTTCACTTTTACGTGTGGAAATCTGTTTGGATTGTAGTTCGTGCTGTACTAATTTATCCAGCTTTGAAATGTTTTGGTATTCTACCACCAATATCTCCTTTTCTGGATTGTTTAATGGCTTTTGTGGGTCAGGGCTCTGTGTAGACACTTCTGTACCATTGACTTCCGGTGGAAGATGCATTAGAGGCTTGCGAGACTTCTGCTCAGAAACACTGTCCTTGTTACTATCACCGCATCCCTCACGAAGCATCCTTTTTTGGACAGATGGTTCACTTTCTAAAGGCCTTTGAGAAGACTGTGCCTTTAAGGTAACCTCTCCTGGAAGCGGCTTCTGTTTTGTTTCTTTATTATGCACAGGTTCCCCTTTCTTTGACTGACTTAGGCTTTTAGGCATTGCCACACTTTTTGCATTAACCTGAGGCAAAGTCGTGAGTCCCTGCTTGACCGTTTTTCTCTTCGGTGTCTGTTTATCTGTAGCTGCGCGGTGATGCAACTTTACCCCACTTTCTTCAGACTGTCTTGAAGACACTGAAGATTTTAGCGAATTTGGTGACTCTCCTTGATAACCTAAGAAAAGAAAGTTCGAAGAGTTTCACTCCAATTTGTGAAAGAATTGCAGTATTTGCTTTTAAATTACTTTAAAAATAAAAGTAATGAAATAATGAAATGGTAACATCTCTATGATCAAGTAACCATTTAGGATTCGGGGTTAGTAACATGACAGTAAGGAGCCCTGCGGACGCACTGGATAAGTGCTTGGCTGCCAACCAAAGGCCGCTGGTGTGAACAAAGTAGAAGTTCTGTCGGGGGAAAAAGCGCTCGTCTACTTCCCTAAAGTTTACAGCCTTGGAAACTCTACCAGGGGGCTCAGCTCTGTCCTCCAGGGTCCCTGTGAACCAGAGTCAACTTGAGGGCTGTTAGGTTGTGTATCAGCTTGGGTACAACTGTTGGAAGATAGGGAGGAGTCCAACCTCCCAATCAGGACCCTGCCTAATGAGGACGTCTTAGGGGTGTGGACTATTTCTAAGAGGCACTGTGGAGAACAGGTCTCTCTTCAGCTTCTCTTCTTCCTGCTTGCTTGGATCCGGAGTCTGGCTGCTAGGACCAGTGGCCTTTGCAGCCTGCTGACTCTGGGAAGTACAGCGTCCTGTCATGTTAATGTTTCATATTGGATCCATGCAATTCTGTACCTCCCAGTTTCTCATTTCTCCTTCCTGCTTTATCTGCTGGCAGTTTGCAGGGGCCTCCAGCTACCATCTGACCCAGGGACTTGAGGTGGACTAGGTTGGGCCACTTCCTTGATGCAAATTTCTTTCTTGATATAAAGTTCTTTTTTATACATCATGAATGTCACGGTTTTGTTTTTCTAGAAAACTCAGCCTAAACACAATGGCAACTGGTTGGAACATGATAGATTTTTTTAAAAAGAAAAGGCTTATCTATTTAAAGATGTCGGGTCTTAGCATTCTAAGGTCTTAGTAAATATTAAATAGGATATCTCTTCCTTAAGAAAAAAGCTTTGATCTGATGCTGGAACTAGATTTACATACATAAATACATGGGGTGGGTTTTTTTTCCCCCTTTCCCAAAAGAGCAAGAAAAGTCTTCTTCCCTTTGAAATTTTGAACAAAAAGACTGTTCTCTATAATGAAGGAAAGTCAGGCTATTTAAGAAATGTCCCCAACCAAAGGCATTGCCGTGGAGTCAAAGCTGCCGCATCGGAACCTTGTATCCAGGACAGGGTTAAACTGACCCCGTAGGGTTCTGAGACTGTAACTGTCTACGGGAGTAGAAAGCCCAGTCTTAAATGAAATAAGGGCATTAAAATTATAAACAACATTTATTTACTTTTCATAAGGACTTGATTATTGACGTAGTTCATACAGGCTGTTGTTAAGTGCCATCAAGCCAAATCAATTCCAACTCATAGCAATATGATAGGACCGAGTAAAATCTAAAACAAACTCAATGCCATCCAGCTAATTCCGACTGATGAACTGCTGCCACACGATTCTCTTTACGGACGCAGAGCACCAGGGCTTTGCCTGTGGACCCACTGAATGGAGTTGGAATTGCCAACCTTAAGGTTACCAGCTAGGTACTTAACCAGCTGTGCCACGAGGGCTCCTCCATTAAGGATAACAATTGAGATATACACTGGACACTGAAACTGGTGAATGGAAGGAAAGACGGATTCGTTTTGAGAATCCACTTGTTTACATTAGTTAACATCTTAGAGATGATATTTTGGGCATTCAAATCTGTCTAATAGGATTAACAAATGTTTTAAATTCTTAATTGTTAGCTTAATTACTAGAATAAGAGTAATATTACTCTGTTTTATTTTTAAATGAGCTTTTGGTATTTACATATCCAATTCAATTTTTAAAAATAGTTTTACAAACTACTCTTACCTAAGTATACTTATACTTAATGTATAAGGCAAATAATTTTAAAAATCATTTATTATGCTTAGCAATACTATATAATCTGATCAGTACCCTTTAGATATATTTATGGGATCACTGCCCCAGGTGTAACCCCTATACCACCCAAGGATTCTTATAGTTATCAACAAGACCTTCAAGAAAGGGGCATATCTAAAAGGGCTAGAAATGCAGATAAGCTAGCGATACTCTCAATTATATCTCCCACAATAGATACTAAAAAAACAATAGGCACAGAACAGATTCTGGAGAGGAAATTGTTTCCTTATGCATTCTTGCTTTCTAGAATGTCCCATTACTCTTTAAGGGCTATTTTCAAATGGGATGCGTATCTCAAACTCACGGCCACTGAGTCAATGTTGACTTGCAGTGGGTTTCCAAGACTCTTAACTGTTTATGGGAGTAGAAAGCCCAATCTTTCTCCGTCAGCACTGCTGGTGGTCTTGAACTGCTGACGATGGGGATCACCACCCAAGTATAACCACTATACTAACCAGGGATTCTTACAGTTATCAATAAAACCTTCAAGAAAGGGGCATAACTAAAAGGGCTAGAAATGCAGATAAGCTAGTGATACTCTCAAATACATCTCCCACATTAGAGAATAAAAACAACCAAATGTAAACCCCAAAATTAATAGTATAAAATCTCATCTCTGTATTGTGAAATGAGTAAACTATGTTCTATTTTGCTTATTTGCATCGGAAGTTCACAGTCAGAGTTTGTTTACCCAATTTAAGTAAGTAAGTCAGACTCAGGATATCCCATACTGTTCCAGCTTTACCTTGGGTTTTAGCGAGGTTACATGGGGCACTCTTTGTCCTGTGCTGAGGTGTGACACATCCGATGCCATTTCCTCTTTTCTTCAAGATCGCCTGTGGTACTGGATCGCTAGGTCCTTTGCCAGTTACCTTCTTTAGCACACTAAGAAAAATTTGCATTCAATATTAAGTTGAAATTCTAAAATGTGAACTCTTAAGAGCCCCGCACATGAAATGCACATTTTTTTCTCAAGGAAAATAATAAATAATGCATTTCTTTTTGGAAAGCAGAAAAACCACGTGCATGTAAGACACAAGTGCTACAAGAGTAATTTAAGGTATTTCATCATTGTGCATAAATATACAATTTCTTTTCAGAGAAAAAATCATTAAAAATATCATTGTATGAATACAGTAAATTCTTCCCCCCCCACTAAATTCTTTTAACAGATAACTTTAACATATTTATCTATAAATTAGTACAAAAATAATTTTCAGAAAAAGCATAACATTGAATGAAGGTAACCTACCTGTTATTCCTATTAGTTTCTTGTTCATGAATGCTTTTTTTATTGGGAATTCCATTGGTAGCCCTTGAAACAGGTCGAGATTTTACTGGTGTAAATTAAGAGAAAGTGAGTCATAAGATAGAATACATTATATACATAGTAATTACGTGTAAATGTAATTATGTGTCAGATACTCTAAACAAAATTAAATGAGTTTTTAGATTTTGAAAAAGAGAGTTATGTTTTCCCTTGGTTTGCATGAATACATGAAAATATATACTTGTGGCATTTAAAACAAATAAAATCCCAAACAGAGGCTCATTTTCCCCTAGAACTTTCCCTGTTAGGAGCGATTACAAATTAGAGTGCTAAAACCCACCTACAGAAGAAGTTCTGACACTTTCCACACTGGTTTTCGCTGTCTGTCTTTGAGAGTCACAAAAAGATAGCTTATGATCTGATGGCTTTCCTCCTATCGATCCATTTTCTTTTGGTTCGTCCAGACCTTCATTAGGAATCAGGAGTTCCAGACTTGCGCTGGTGGATTTGCTGTAGGGTCCTGTGCTGCTGAGAACTGGAGAATCCCGCCCTGTCGCTTTCTTCAAGGGCTTTGCTTTGGCATGAGTGTTTAAGCTTCCAGGGAGGACCTTGGGTCTGGCACCTGCAGTTTGCCCTTCCTGATTTTTCACTCCTTTTCCATTTATTGAATTCTTCTGTCTATATGCTGCTGCTGATCTTTCCACAGCTTGTCTAGGACACATGTTTTCTGACTTTGCATTATTATCACCATTTTCTGTTTTGGGTTTAATTATAGCTCTAGGCTTCCCAGAAACAGCTTTTTCCCCGGTTTTAAAATCTTTTGTAATCTGCAAAGCTATTTTTGTACCATTTTTTTCCTTTAACTCATCATGCTTCAAAGTATTGCTTGAAGTATTTCTATTCGCATTTGATGAATGTCCAGATGCTGCTAATCCATCAGATTTCATCGTCTGTTCAGTAGAGGGCAAACCCCAGCACGCTTTCTTGTTATTTCCCCTCCAAGACTTCTTCTTTACCACGCCGGAGTCAGAAACTGGTCTCCTTTGCTACAAAAAGAAAGAGAAATGTTTGGCAAATTGACTAAAGTTTTACCACTCAGTCTTTGCTATACAACACTTATGCTTGAATAACCCAGTTTTTCAAAGGAGAGGGGAAAAAACAAAACGAGCCATGCTCACGCTATGATTTAGGGTCTCTTAAAACATAAATGATCTTAGAAGGGTGTTTCAGTTTGTTTCATATTACTTCAATCAAATCTCAACTACACGATAAAATGCTTGTTTGAGAGGCACATGATTATAATACAAGAGGTTATGGTAGAGTTAATATCTAAAGGGCTTAGGCTGCCCTTGGTGAATGATAATAGCCAGTATTCTTTGATGATTCACTCCTAGATTCTGGGGTAAGCCCTTTTCTTACGTCATCTCACTTCATCCTGACAACAGTTTCATATGAGAGCTTCCCTTGAAGCTTCAAGCAGCTGTGTGCCAGGTGCCAGGTCACATTTGGCCCCGGGAGGAGTGGATGCAGGACTGGAGCCCATGAGTTCCTACTCAAGCAGAGAGTTGTCCAAGTGGTAGAATTAGCTGGACATCACCATGATTTTCACCCCAAATTCTCTCTTCAGCTCTACCCCAAATGCCAGCGATTTTATCATTATAGGTTTAATCCTCTTTGGTCAAACTTGTTTATTTCTTGGAGGCCTCCTTTAAAAAAAAAAACAAACGCCCCTGGGGAAGACATGCATTATATCCAAAATGTCTGTGTAGCAGCACAGTGCTGACTGGATAAGGGAAGGAGAGGCGGAAAAGGGAAGAGAGAAGGGCACTGAAGACAAATACAACTGCTGATCATTTTGCTTAGAACCAACCTTGACACAGAAGGCCGGAACGTAAAAGGTTGGGGGAGATTTTTGAGATTTACACTAAGCTCTTTGAAGAGCTGTGTAGGGCTGTCGAGTGTGAAGCAGAGCCTGTGTGGTTTTCATCCATATAATCCTTAGAAAGTCCAAAGAGGCTTGGGCTTCATATCCGGTTATCATGATCAAATCATAGCTCCAAAAAACCCTAACTACTTTTAAACCTTCAAACCAGGCAGACTTGCAGAGTCTACTTTTGAGTTTCTTTCTCTGCACTGAAGCATTATGCTCCGTAGTAATTAAGTCCTTGAGAAGTTTCACATTAACTTAATACAGCATAACAAGGGTTCAGGATGCACACATCTCTGTGTCTGGACAATGCCTGACGTAAGCTTTGGCAAGTGTTCGCACATCCCTTATGTGTGAACGGCCTACTGGGAAAGGTCGCCAGAGTTCTACTGATACAAATGAAGACCAAGAGGGTTACCCTCTTAGTATGCCTCTTAGACACTCTTTCAGCTTTCATGGATTCCTTTTGAAAACATGTAAAAGAATTCAAAAACTATGTAAACATAATTAAAAGAAGACAGAATGGTATAATAAATCCCCTTGGACCCATTATCCAGCTTTAACCAATTTCAACTCATGGTCAATTGTGTTTCATATTTACTCATACCCCCATTACATTTTAAAATAACTTCTAGAAAGCAGATAATTTTATCAAGTATTTCAGTACCAGCCACTTTTCCTAACTTTTCCTATCTTATCACACTAATTTTCTTCTATTTCTCAAAGATTCCATGTCTCTTTGGAGAACACATTATTCATTTCATGTGTATTGGGGACTTATTCATGCCAGGTTACTGTACATAAATGACCGCACTTAATTCCCACAATGACCCTGTCAGGTTGTATTACTCCACCAACCTCAGACCAACGGTCTAAAGGTCTTGTCCAGGATGACATGGATAACAAATGTGGAGCATCATTTGAACCCAGCTCTTCTGATGCTCTGGTGGTGTCAGGGGTTACGCATTGGGCTGCTAATGACAAGGTTGGTGGTACACGCCCACCAGGTGTGTCATGGACAAAAGATGAGGCTTTCTGCTCCTGAAAGATTTACAGCCTGGGAAACCCACAGGGGCTGTTAGTTGTACTCCATCCTGCAGGGTCACTGTGAGTTAGAATCAACTCAGTGGCAATCAGTGATTTGCAATTTCTTTCTCACTCTCAGAACCTTCTGATGCTAAGGAAGTCTGGTGGTGCTATGGCCTGGGTGTGGGCCTGCACAGTTGGTGGTTCAAATCCACCCAGGGGCTGTGCAGAAGAAAGATTAGGCAGGCAGTCATTTGAGCTTCCAATGCTATGGCCACCCTCGTTTCATGTTACCACTGCCGTTATGAAGAAAACTATTACTGCTTCCTTCCCTAACAGTAAAAGACCCTAGGACAACCTCAAGGTCTCATCAGGAAGATAAGAAATGAGCAGTGAGAGTGGATTCTTGGTAGTTTGCTGTAAGCCAAGGAAGGAGAGAAAGTGATGCTAACAGTTAGTAGAACAGAGGGAAGGCAGGCAAGTAGGCTGGGGGTGTTCGTTTCTTTTGAAGCCCTCCGTGTCTCCTGGAGTATGTTCCATGGAACTACATAATAAAGAGGAGTCAGAGAGGGGAGAGGAGTAAAGTTACATGGCTATAAAATTTGAGGAAATTTTGAGTAAGGCAGAATTTAGCTTTTTTTTTTTTTTTTTACAAATTATTATATTGCTTTTTAAGTATATAATTATCTTAGAGAACCTTATGTGTAACAATTCTCAAAATTAATTGACCCTAAATGTTCTTAGGTGGAACATGATAAATACGTATATTCTGTAGAACAAGTACATGATTTGGAAAACAATCTTAGGAGTTCAATGGCAAAAATCTACAATGTTCCCCAACTTTTCACCCTGGACAACTGGAACTTGACCTCCACCTCAAGCCATTAGAAACTCAGCTTAGGCTTGAGCTACGTGGGTTCCTATCTAAAGGCTGAGGAGGAAGAAAGGATCTGTACCCCCCAAAATAAGGGCAATATTTTCACTGGCTTTCAAATTAGAACTCTCAATGTATGTCTTCATGTGATCATGGTAATGAGGAACTAAACCAAAACCGAACCCACTACCATCCGATTGGTTCTGACTCACAGTGACAGATAAGAGTAGAACTCCCCCTCCGTGGGCTGAAAACCTTTACGCATGCAGACTGCCACTTCTTTCTCCCCAGGAGAGGTTGGGGGGCCCCAGCCACCAGCCTTAGCTTACGGTGAGCAGCTGCACTCCCAGACACTGGGCTGGCTGCGTTCTTCAGCATCAGGAGTACAGAAGTATAATTTGGGCCTTCAAATAGATCACTCTTTAAGTGAACACCTGTAAATTCGCTTGGAACTCTATCATCAAAAATATTTTTATGGAAGAAAATGTATTTTAGGTTATAACAAATAGACAAAGTAACTTTTAGAGTAAAAAATAATTACACTGCTTTTTCCAGATCAAAAGCACATTATATGAATTAAAACAGAAGCACAGAGATAACTGGAGCAGCTAAAACCTTTAGTTAAGAAGTAGGTTAATTAGAAAAATAGATACTGAATTAGGTATAGAATTCTAGACAATTTTTAATCTAATGGAATAGCTCTAGTGGGTTAGCTGCCAAAAGAGTTTTCAAGGAAATGAAAATGATAGGAAATATTTCACTTCCTGTGCCAGCAGGGTATAAAAACATGATATCATTTAAGTTTATGAAATGCTCACACAAAAAAAGAAATGCTCACTTGATTTTAAAAATCTGAAATCATTCCAAAAAGAAATAGCTTTAATTAATGAAAAGAACAAATTATTTGAAAGTTTTTCTAAAATAAAAAGGATACGATTACAATTACTTGGTACCTTTCGAAAGTTTACCTGAGAGCTACTGAATATAGGCCTTTTGCCTAGTCTTCGATCATCACCTTTGTCAAATGCAGCTGTTGAAAGAAACAGTAATTTTACTTTTATTGATAGCATTATTATAATTATCATCGAACTGAAGGAAGGTATGCTAGCAAAAAAATGGTTATGATTGAATAAAAATAACTTAAAAAACTGAAACCAATCTATTACATACAAATAATTTTCAAATATATTTTAGAAAACTTAAAAGTATAACCTTTCCAATCATACTCTCTGATCCCTATGGATTGCATTATTAAAATGAATAAATCAGAAATGCATTATCTCACATTTACACAAAAACAGAATTTTCTCAAGCTGTGAAATTTAAAGGTACAATTGGCTTCATTTAGTTAGTTTTCTATATGTCAAAACGTTGTATGTAGGTTGTGGTAACTGAAATAACTTACAAACTATTAAATATAAGGACATATTTACTTTAAAAAAGTAACAGATCCTGGTGGAAATTAGCTATAAATATTTTGGGGGTAATAAAGGTAGAAAAAAAGGTTTTATTGACAATAAGGCAAGAAACAATCCCCATCATTTTCTTGGCATTATATAAAATATAATTTCATGGGTTAGGTTTTTTTTCTTTTAAAAAAATAATTTTTTTTAAGCCTCCACCTTGGGTTAGGTTTCTATGGGAAATATTTGGGAACTCATAGTTTTATTCTTTAAATAAGAACTTGAATGATGTTAGAAAAATATATAAGAATAATTATATGAGGACTATAAATAAAGTTTAGCTCATGTATTTCTTCTTTCTGAGGGTTATGGTGTTTTAAATAACATGTTGAAAAAATGCATATAATATCTAAAAGTTATGTGACTTTTATTAAAACGACAATTTGTGAAAAATAAATTTAAAGTTTTACTATAATTCTACCATGCATCTATGAACATTTCTATTCTATAAGATCTATGCTGTCTATCTAAGACAAAGCAGGATCCTGGAAATGACATTATAAGGATGATTCACAAAAAGCAAATGACTTTGTGTAATTATATACAAGAAGAAATGAATATAGTATTTCTACCAAAGGTCAGTAACTCAATAAGAATACAAGAAATGTTATAACAATGATAGCCTAGAATAATTCCTTTATCTGAGGTTTCCCAATGCAGTAATTAAATATGACAGGACCCATTATCATTTAACCCATTTAAGATAAAAATAGATATACATATTTTAATATATATTAGTTCATTGATAAAATGTAATAGAGTAGAAAGTTCTTTTTGATACTTAATTGGAGTACCCCAAACATTTTGTTTTAAATATGCATGTATATGTGTCTATATTTACATATATTTTAAATGAGAACTTTGAAGAGTTAAAAGAAATTGTTTGAAGCCCAACTTCACTATTAAGTCCTTGAAAACAGAGAAAAGCAAAGTTTGCTACCAATCAGAATCGAGTGCTGAAGGACATCTACTGTAGGAATTCTGATCTTATCTCCTTGTTCACATTGTATAGCTTGTGTAGTAAAGATGAACTGTCATTGAAGCATCAACCCAGAAACAGTCACAAGGAAAAAGAATTCAATTTCTCCCCTTCTCAAGATATTTTTTTTGTTACTTAAAATAGGAATTTCTTTGAAAAGTGCTCTTCAGATCCTACGTAGCTACACTATTCTGTTTGTTCATAACGCAAGACAGAGCAGATGCTCCCCTGACTCCGCCACAAAGAATTGAACCCATCTATGGGTTATCAATAAGGCATCCTGCATGACTGTCACGTTTTACAGTACAAACATATTGACTTCACAACAGATAGCCTTTTTACTTCAAATGTGTTTGGAAGTATACTTGCTGAATCTGCCAGTATTTTTCCTAAGGCACCTGCTTTAAAACAAAAATAGTCATGAAGCCATTTTCAGTTCCCCACCCTCAAAATTATTTTTTGTTACTTTTACACTTAGACACCGCTGCATGACATAGGTCTTTGCTTAATGCTAATGTTTCCAATAGCACCGATTAAGCGTCAAGAGCCCACTGTGCGGCTCCTGAGGGACACTCCGCAGTAGCACACACCGTATCACCGGGCCAGTCGACTGTGGAATAAAGCAATCTAACTGAGGTCCAAGCAACTAGAAAGAGAACCTCATGCAAAAGATGGAAGAGCTTTTTGGCAAAGTCTATTTCTAAAGAGGGGATAAAGTATGTTTGGGCATCTGTGCTAGGTGGATTACGTTTTCCTGGACTTTGGATCTCTTTACAAGAATGCTTTTGAGCATATTACCCTGAAACCTTTTTGCTAATACAGAGAAGGATTAAAAACTGACACATATATATATATAGGAAATGAATTCCATTTCCTAAGAACAGCAAAAAAAAAAAAAAGAATTCATGCTTTATTAAAACTGCTGAAACATACTACCGCTAGATTCAATTAGCAAGCAATTATTGAACCGAAGCACAGAAGCGTTAATCCTACCATTTATTAGAATGCCCTCAAAGTGTCTGCTGTCAGACAGATCACAATAAAAGAATAGGAAAATCGCAAAGCTAACATACCTGCTTGGATTTTCTGTTGATCATCTGTGCTCACCAGCTCCCAGCTCTCTGTGTGACGAACAGCATAGAAAGACTGGACCAGGAAGATCCACAGCTTATCACGCAGAGCCTGGATCTTGCACGTAAAACCCTGTGTTCAGGCAACAAATCAGCAGCTGGTGAGAGCCACATTGTCATAGCAACCAGTCATTATTCCTTTCCGAGTCTACTTACTCCTAAGCTAGATCAATGATGTCATCACTTAGATTTTAAGATTGTCTTGTATGTTACTTATGAATGCTTATGCTTCAACAACAGAATTTTATAGTGCAGCATGAAGCTAAATCTTATTCTCTCAACTAAATATTTTAAATTGCCATGGCCCTTTATATGAGTACCTTCCATGACCTTTTTCCGAATCAACTATGCCATTACAAGGTCAAATACTATATATAGTATACAGTAATAAATTGGTAATAATATAGTAATAAATTTGATTGAATAGTTTAATCATTCTTGTTGAACAAAAACAAGATGACAATACTTTGCAATCACCTTACTAATTATTTTTTATTAATGGCACATAAAGAATAAATAATAATTTATTTGTACCTTTTCCCAGTTAATGCCATTAAAAAATTTTTTTTTCTGCTGAAGGTATTTTGAATATATTATAAAAAAGAATTATGAATATGTTACAAAATAAAAGACATTAATGACTTAAAAATATATAAGGTTTATACGTAGAAAATTTAATACAGTGACAAGGTAGAAATATTGTTATTACTTAGAAGCAAAATATGCTTAAAAGTAACCAAACTTCCAAATTCCAAGCTTTTATAATAAGTTCATTTGGAGCTATATAGAATTAAAAGCTTTTTGTGTTGTAAAAATTTCAAGCATACACAAAAGAGCATAGCAAATTCCATGTATCCATCCCCTGAGCATTTTTTGTGCATACATCATAAAATGGTTCAAATAGGAGATGATTTGGGGGGATTTTATTAGACTCACTACCATTTCCTTTGTACTTTCAGAGTTCAGTAATGTGTCCAGAGCCAGAAGAAGAGAGCAGCTATTCTCAGTAGTAATATTTTCTTCAATTGCTTTTAAAACTTTGTCCAATAGATCAGCTGTGCTGCTCATTGCTTGTGACTACAAAACACACAGAAAACTGATATTTAATAAGAAAGTCCAAGTAAAATATATAAGAATTGTGAAAGTCTGGCATAACAGCAGACCATGGATAATAACTCTTATATGAACTCAACCAAAAGTTGTATCTGCCCCCTCCCCACTTTTGTTAAAAATATAAACAAACCCAGTCAGGAGTTAAAATAGATCAAATAACAGAACCTAGAGATAAGTAGCAGAGGCTTTATAATCAATGACTGTTAAGAAAAAGTGGGTCTCCGGTAAGTCAGGGAATTTGGCATAAACCACAACCGACCAAAACCACGTACCTGTGATTTTGGATTCTAAAGTGTGGCTTACACTGACTGAGGAGGGGTAGAGTTGGCCAGAGTCATACTGCACCTTGCCAGGGTACTCACACCTATCCCTCCGTTTCCTTATCCTTGTGAGCCAAAAATCCTGTCCATCACTTCTCTAAAGCCTATGCAGAAAAGCCATCTGTTGGGGAATTTATTTAAATCCTATGAATTCAATACAAGGCAACCTGCACTTAAAAAACTCTTACATAAGTAAAATCAGAACACAAGGGTAGAACTAAATATAGAATATCATTTTAGACACAGTACCTGCAACAGAAGAGCAAAATTTTCACTCTGAATGATCTTGGAGAAGTTTACCACCATGAAGGCAATACATTCTTCTTGGAGCTGAGACGCCATAGTCAGGGCTGCCTCTGTCCACTTCACTCTGGGTAGACTGATGATTAGTCTGTCACTTTCCATCAGAAGAAAAGCGACATTCTCGTCATTCTTAAACATTTTTAAATATTGAGAAAAAGGTTAGAATTAGCTGTGCATAAAATAATGACCTAGACAAATTGTTTTGCTTCCCTATGATATTAACTGGAAAAGGTGCTGTGTCCTTAGTTTCACCTATACTACCTATGCATTCAGAATGACCCAAAAGGGAGATTTTTCACTATTGAATTCATTTTTGTGTTTACAGACATAATTCCTACTGCAAAGCTCCATGCATATAGCCGTACTTCATTTCTGACTATAAAATATATGTTGGTGTTGAGTACATGTAGGTTTACAGAGCAGATCAGTTTTCCATTCAACAACCCATACACATGTGTTTCATCACATTGATTGCAATCTAAACAATGTTAACATCACCCATCCTACTTCCTCCCTGCTTACTGTTTCTATTCTTCCTTCTTTCCTAACCCTTCTGAATTTTGTCTTTGGGTAAATATTGTCCTTTTGATCTCAAGTTCTAAGGTGTACATACCTCCAGAGTGACTGTTCCCTTTATAAGTCTGTCTAGGGCTTGACTGAAAATTGAGTCACCGGGTGAATTTGGTTCCAGACCTGAAAGGTAAACTAAGGGCCAGAGTCTCAGGAGTTCACCAGTCTCCACCTTTCCAGTAAGCCTGGCCCCTTTTACGATTTTGAATTTTGTTCCACACTTTTGTATTAATCTATCCAGAACCTTTTAATGTGGTCCCTTTCAAAGGAGCCCTGGTGGCACTATCAGGCAAGCACTGGACTGATAGCAGCAAGGTCTGTGGTTCAAACCTAGCAGCTGCTCCGTGGGGGAGAGTTGAAGTTATCTGTTCCTGTAAAGATTTACAGCCACAGGAACGCTTTCCGAAGAGTTGTTAGTGGTACCCACACCATCTAGTTCTTCTTGTCTTGAGGTCATGGAGAATGATGTTCACATGGCCCCTTAGTCCATTCACCTATTTGTTTCCTTTGGAACCACCAGCCACTCTGCGGGAGGAAGATGAGGCTTTCTATCTTATAAAGAGTCTCAGTCTTGGAAGCCCACAGGAGCAGTTGAACTCTGTTCTACAGGGTTGCTATGCGCTGGCATTGACTTGATGGCATGGCAGTGAATCGAGTCTTCTTTCATTCAGGCAAGGCAAGACCAATAGTTGCCTCTTAGATGGCTGCTCAAGAGCTTTTAAGACCCAACCACTATTTACCCAAGTAGGGAGTAGAACGTTGTCTTTTTAGACTATACAATACATGTTCTTTACTGTAAATTTTAAAAGGCTGAAAATCACTTATAATTCCATTGATGTTCTTCCTCCTCTCTAATTAGGCAAGACTATACTTTTTATATCTTATGCATTTAATGATAATTCCTTTCTATACCATGAGAAAAAAAGTACTCACAAGGACTTGTTTCTATGGAAAATGGAATGGCAAATTAACAAATGCCCTGTGCTCCAAGACAAAGAAACAAATGACCACTTATGAATGTGTATATATTATTCTTGTTTGTATTTCTAGTTCTTCAAACAATGCTTAGTGAACAGTTACTTATTGAATCTGATATTAGTAGGTTTGGAAAACAAGGCCACAAATTCTTTGCAGCTCCATCCACAAGGGCAAGGTAACTGAGAGGAATTACCAAAATCAGAATGAAGGCTGAACATGGTAATGGGATAGGAGGAAAGCGTAAGGAAATAGAGGAAAGGAGTAGGAGGCAAAGGGCATACATAAAAGTCTAAATACAGACATGTACATATGTAAATATATTTAAGATTATGGGGGAAATGGACCTAGGTGCAAATATTTATAGGTTTAGTAGTAGGGTGGCAGGTGG